AGAAGCCATCAATTCGCTCTTACTGGAGCACCAACCCAATCTGTTCTAGTCCAGTGTACTCTCAAACCATGTCTAGAACAAAATTTGAGCCGCTGCTGAGATACTTACATTACAATGACAATACCCTCTGTCACCCCAGAGATCACACCCAATATGACAGGCTTCATAAAATACACCCACTGGTTGACCATCTTCAGCACAAATTTACTGAAGTTTATACTCCTTAAATTTTTTTATCTATTGATGAATCGTTAATGAAATATAAAGGGAGATTAGGATTCAAACAATACATCCTCTCAAAGCGCTTTAGGTATGGCGTAAAATTCTACAAACTGTGCGAGAGCGAAAGTGGCTATACATTTGCCTTTCGTATATATGAGGGGAAAGATGGTCAACTGGACCCTCCTGGCTGTACTGACTCTCTGGGGACAAGCGGGAAACTTGTTTTTGACTTACTGATCCCCTTGTTCAATAAGGGTTACCACCTTTATGTGGACAATTTTTATAGCATTGTCCGTTTGTTTCAAACTCTTTAGGGTTTCTAGATACTGGCCTGTGGCAGTGTGAGAAGATATGCCAAGGATTTCCCCAGACCTTTTATAGAGGCCAAATTAAAAAAAAAAGTGAATGTAAAGGTCAGCACAAAGCTTAAGTGCTTGCAATAAAATTTAAGAACAGGAAGGATGTTAATATACTAACCACCATCCATGACGAAAGCATGTCAGACGTCACTGTCCGAGGCAGAGTACAGACCAAACCTGTTTGCATCAGGGCTTATAGAAAATGCACATGGGGGTGTTGATTTGGCTGATCAACTGATGCAGCCATATCTTATCTTAAGAAAGACAAAAGCCTGGTATAAAAAGGTGGCTATCTACCTGATGCAAGTAGCAACACATAATTCATTTTTACGCTTTAAAAAATGAATCCAGAAAGAACCACCTTTCTCCAATTTTAGTTAAAGCTGATTTCCACAATAATTTATGGAGATGGTCAAGTTCCAACAACGGTGCCAGAGGAGTCCAGACATTTTATTTTTAAGATACCGCCAACTGCAAAAAAAAACAAATCCCCTGAAATGTTGCTGGGTCTGTTATAAAAAAGGGAAAAGGACAGACACCCCATGGCACTGATTTTTTTTCTTTTGAAAACAGCAAATTTTAGTTAGTCAGTTTCCTTCCCCCCAAATCTCCAGTTAGATTCTTTTTGCAGGAGTTAGTTTAGAGAATGGTGCTAAAGGTGCATTTGATACCTGCACATTTGGTTAAAAAAGTTTGGTTTATGGTAGTAACATATAACTGGCTGGCCAAAACCAGATGACGTGTGCATAAAAAGCAGAATTCAAAAATTACCACCATGCACGTTCTCTGAAATTTGTTTAGCACAATGGTTGGGGGAAGGATGTGAAAACACCTCATATACAATACCCTGAAATGTCTACTTTATAAAAATATAAACTTTCGTGATGTTAACATTAATGGGGGGATGCAAAAATATGCCAAACTGAAGATAGGCCAAG